GGTACTCGCAACAGCAGCAACAGCAGAGGACGACGACATCTCGACATCACTGCTCAAAGAGGAGTTGGAAACGGAGCAGGAGGGCGCAAGAACCACTCTGGCCTGTCGTAAACTAGAAAACAGTTGAACCACCTTAGAGTTAATGCTCGGTACTGACTGCGAGGTGGATATGGGTGAGGCCTGTGAAGAGAGCGCTCTAGAGCCGGCCGGAGTCGAGATGGTGCTGCGTGGAGCAAAAAGTCGGTCGGTTTGCCTCTCGTGGTGGGGTGTGGCCGGCGCTGAGACGCTTTGTGGAAAGCCTGTATCGGAAGATTGTTGTTGCTGCCGCTGCCGCTGCTGCTGCGGTGACACCTGTCGTTGTTGTAGCTGTGAGGATTGATGCTGCGGTTGAGGCATGATGACTCTATTAGAAGTAAATAAGTCCAGAGAGGAGGTCGTATTCTGAGACGAGTTGTCTAAAGACTCGAGCGCAGAACCAACTGAGGTGAGAGGAAGGACACATTTTGAGGACTGCTGGGCGGATGACTGACTCGGAAATTGGGCATCAATGTTGAGAGCGGTTAGCTGAGACGAAGAAAGACAAGCAGAGGAGACAGTGGAAGGAGAAGTTAGTGGCTGTCTGTAGAATGGAGAACTGTAGAAATTTCCCGTGTGACTAAGACCTGGATTCGGTGTGAGACTGCCGAGAGGCGGGTGGGGACCTGAGCGCTGGTGCTCAAGAAGCATTCGCTTGGCACGCAATTTCTCCCGAACTGAGGCCAGAGTCTTTGTCTGTCGAGGTGGTGGCATTTCGAGAGTGGAGGGTTTTGACGAGCCCGACTCAGATTTCACATAGACAGAAGCTTCCCGGTCTTTCGTTGACTTTGAAGAGGTTGAACCACGAGGGGTCGAAAAAATGCCAGTTTTTGTGTCCTGAAACAAAAACGGAATGAACAATGAAAGAAATGAAGGCAGGGCGTCTGAGTTTGAACCGTCCAGTCATCAAGAATAAAAAATGTAAAGAAGGCTAAGTAGGGAGTTTAAAGGGAAAATTCGAAATGACGAAAAATGCTTTTAGATTGAAAACTCGTAAACTTCAAAGAACACTAAGTGATGACACATAAGGGCAACGTTCACAAGGACCAAAGGATATCGTCTACGCATAGGAGTCAAAAAGCCTTTCCGCTGAAAATCCTCCAAAGGTTATTCGGGTAAACTTTTATTTATATCGCAATTTTCAATTTCCAAATATACTACACATAACAAGGGATTAGGCAACCGAAATCGTCTGATTGTTGTTAACTGTGCGCTAGTGTTTTTCCATTAGATGATATTAATTTGAACATAAACATTTACCAAACCAACCTTCGGTAACTTCAACCTGGTTTTTTGACAGTGTAAATTAGATGATATCAAATATGGATAAATATGCCTTGTTGGAAGAAAGTTGATTTTTCCATAATTATTATTTGCAAATGTATGCAATTTCAGGCCCCGAAAAAGCAGTAAAAACGCCTCAATTCGCGAAGAGACCGACCGAAAAAAACAGTGACTTCGACTTTTATGTATATGGCTAGGTATTCTTTGTGTGGTCGGCTTTCTATAAATAAGTAATTTAGAAACAGAAAAAGCAGAATAAGAACAGTTTAAGAAGCATCTGAATAGCTATATGACCACTTTCTAGCGCATTTATAACGGTAATAAAACGCCTAAAAGACAACAAAAATGACTTCAATACCCCTTTTGTCCGTGGCAAATTATCACTGTCTGTAAGGGCAAAATATTTTTTTAACGCCGACTTCAATTTGGCAAGGCGTGGGTGAAAGACACAGACATTTAAAGAGGAAACTTGTTTTGCGATTTTTCACGTGAGCAAGAGCACTGAGCCTTTGCTGTGGGCATTAATTCCCTTTGGTGTCTGTGTTTCGTAATTGGGTGAGTCTAAAAATAGGGCCTAAAACTACCACCCGCACAAAAAAGAGCGTCGTAGAAGTCACTGCACACGTAAAAGTACTCCAGACCTGTCTCTTTTTCGCAGGTTGCGAATGGCTGCAAAACTACGGAACCTAGTCTTTCAGCTAGTCGACTAGGAATGCTAGAACCCGGAAAGTATCCACTGACGTTTCACGGACACCCTGCAATTCAATGGTCATCACCGTCACGCAAAAGTATAAAGCAATTCTAAAGAAAAAGATCTTTTTTGATACACAGAAAACGCTATGCTCGTGGGTTCCTCGGGAAGTTTTATTCCAATTTCTTCGTTACCGACAGAGCTCTCATCCTGGGAGCCTTAGTAATTTCTATTTCTGAAGCTCCCTTCTGTGTAATCAGACGAAATCCCACTTTCTTTAAACAATCGGGTCTCGAACAATACAAAACCGAAAAACCAAAATGACGCCTTGTGACGTCATTTTGGGAATTAAACAAGACCGGAAAAAAATAAGTCGAATTCTCATAATTCCAGCTTGGAACGCATAATCAAACATTTGACTGGCTGCGAAGTGATTTAATTGCGTAGTACACAATGGGCTTTGGTTTAAGGTTGTTTTGTCCCTGCTGTGTCATGTGCTCAGTTTTTTTGATGAGCAGACTGTATACGCTTTTAAAAATAGAGTTTACACAAATAGCACGAATTTTCACACTTTGGATGCTGTCACTTCTCTTAAACGAAGCAGGGCGTACGTGAACTGCTGTATATGCAGGAATGACCATGTATCGATCTCACTCTTTCGGCCTAACACGCACAGGCGGTGGTAAGTCAGGGACCCCTGTTGAAGTAGCCTAGCAGCTCTGTCTAACTTGTCTCACACGCACCTGATGTGCGTTTTAAGCCACTCATACACAAACAATGGCTGACAGAAACACTAATAAGAAATACAAGTGTGCTTGGAGGAGTCAATGGAACAGCACATTTTGCACAATAAATCCTCGGCTGCGCTAGAAGGACATCAGGGAGAAAATAAATCAGTCTCAAACTGCGCGTAAAGCAATATATGACTAGGTGGCCTTGTTCTCGCGAAACAGTCTCGATGATTTTACACCGGCGATAGCTCCAGTCTGCAACGGCGAAAACCCCAACGTCTTCCCGGAGCGGACAGCTCTGGCAACAAGTGGAACTTACTCCCACGCTAACCACCAAATTGTCTTAAATCGTGAGTGTAGGTTTAGGGTGCGTCTAGAAGTCATTCATTGTCTGCTGCTTGCACATAAAGACTAGTGCGTGTCAATCTAACGGGGACGATCAGATAATAATTAAGCAAAACGTACAGTATAGAAGGACAGGGGACTGCTTGGGCCTATGACTGATCCCTACAGTCTCCTGCAATGGTAGGCTTTTGCCATTGAAGAAGTTTTATCAGTTTTTTTTTGCAGATTGGCATCTGAAAAATTCGGCGGTCTCGGTCGAGTTCGAACCCAAGACAGTCAACGCCCTAACTTCCTGCATTACAGAGCATTGGCCGGGAGCTGCGCGTTTAATCAACTTTAAGCCAGATAAATTATGCCAAACTGCAGCAAACACCTGCTAGTTAGGTGACGCCAGTAGTTATCTGGGGGTCTCTGAATCAATTACTTCAGAAATCCTGTTTGGGCAGTTAGTTTACGCTATCAGAATTGGTGCTGGTATTGCACTTGGAAGTGGTATAGGAGTGTACACGCTACCCCCATGCTTCTGTACTTTTCCCTATCATCAGTAAACTGAAAAGGAAGAATAGGCCTTCTCTGGCTTAGAGCAAATTGTAACGTTATCGAAGGACGAGAAGGCTGCAGATCGATGGCAAAACCCCAATTACATTAAGTCGGAAAAACGAGTGGGGAGATTTTTATGCCAAAAATGGAATGATCTGATTGACATTAAAAAAATACTTTCATAAATAGATACGGAAATTGACAGGAAAGGTAATCCAAGCGTTGGACTGGAAGACAAAGAGATGCTAATATGTCGCATATTTTTCAGAGCGTCACCGTTACAAAGACGCACGTAGGCAGGGATTTGCGTGCAAGTGCAAAACTACCGGCGCTTTTACACTAAACCCCTAAGAGAGGCTTATGTTTTGACAGTATACAGACGAGATCAAGAAGTCATAGGCCTCACATTATGTCCTTCAAGCCTCTACTACTACTACTCACGGTCCTAGGGGTGAATTAGTCGAACAGAAGACCATTCCTCGTTACAACAAATCTGACTGGGCCGGAAGGGTTCTGGGTAAAGGAATAACTCGAACCTCGAGGGTCTGGCGGCCAGATTGCAAGGATTTTCTGCCGTGGCCTTGAAATAAGTTGTGCTGACCCTGTCTACGAGTTAACGTAGTTCGATCCGGACACGTTGATGAGATATCGACGCAGGTTTCATACCCGCTCAGTCACTATTTCAATGTCAATCCCATCTGTCTTGGCCTAGTTGTGTCATTGGGACACAGTTGTTGCAGAAAGAAAGTGGGTTCAATTTCGACCACTGGAATCAAAACCACGCCTAAGCTACCATTAAGTGTCTAACGTCAGCCAGTAAGATACAGTAGATTCACTATCTCATGAAATCGAACGATTTTTACAAGTAACTCTCTCTTACTCAAACGCAGCCCAAGCTGCGGCCCCCAAAGTCTTACAGCAATAAAGTAATGGTCGTTCTTTACAATAGGGCATATTGTGATTTATGAAGGGATATAACGTTTTATAGAAATGCCAGCTTTTTTAGCAAAGTGCAAAATTCCGAAAAAGTGGAAATCGGG